AAACAGACCCTCCCATTTAGGGCCCATGCACACTGGTGGGTGCGTGTTTAGCAACCTGTCCTACCAACAACCGACATAAACTTAAACAATGGGACATTAGGCAAATTGCTTTGTCTATATGTTACAGATTCCTGCCCAACGCATATGGCATGAACGGGCTCACATCTACGAAAATACTTCTTGCATTTGATATCATAGATTAAAAGGATTTATCAAGAGGCACACCCTGGACTACCAAAGTTTACTAAATTCTCATACAGGCTTGACGTTCTTCCCCACTGAAAAACTGCTGATCCATTAATCCATGCCCTTTCCCTAAAATATTTGGAGAGGTAAAAGCCCCTCGAAATAGTTGAAACAGGTAGGCAAGACCTTGGAACTATGCTGCAGAGATCTTGCTACCAGCATCAGTAACACAAAAAGCCAGAAAATGACTCAAAACATTGGCTTCCATTGGAAACTGCAATCATTTTGAATAGACCAACACCTCAAAATCCGTAAAGGGTGTGTGAGGGAGGTTTACAAATTAATAGCACTTTGAAACAAATTCTAACAAAAACAAAACAAAAAACCCACACCTTTGGGGTTAAAAAAAATAAAATAAAAAAAATAAGCTTAAGTTTTATTTCCATCAACAAGTTGGAAATTGTTCACAACTCTTTAGAAATAATTAAAAAAATGTCAGCTCGTTGATCCTAGCTCAACCTCTAAGAGTTAACATATCCAAATAGTAAATACAGTTTTGTACGAAATGCTACAGTTCAGACAGGAAAATAAAGAAATTGATATATATATATATATACATATATATACACACACATATATATACATACACACACACACACACACACACTATACACACATACATGGGACTGAAGTGAAATGGAAAATTGAAGGTAAAGGCAAGGGCAGCTTAGCTAAACACTCAAGCCACTTCCTGAATCCCTTAGGTTAACCTCATTCATCTGTGAGAGATGTGCAACTTTCATTAAAGCATTACCACAAATGAAGATGTAAACACCACAAAACACTTCATTTACGTATTTTCACAATTTCAGCTCAGGAAAAAGCTATTTATTCAATGAAAATGACTCATTTAAAGATGACATGGACTTAAGAAATGAAATTTGAAGAGGTACAATATAATAAGGTTGTACTGCTTTCATGTTTGGGTGAAAAATAGAATTCTCAAAAAAGGAGTTTCTTGGTACTATACAACTAAATGTTGTTATATTACATTACAGTGATAGCAAAACACAGACATTTAATACATTATAAAAAGGTAATATCTTAATTTCAATTTCTGAGACAATGCACTACAACATTTTCAAAAGACTTCTAAATTGTAGCACCAGCCAGTAATTGAGGAAAAATGGTAGCCCCCCCAAAAAAGCCTAGTTCTACATCTAGGTAAGACAAACAAGCAACCCAGCCAATGTCTCTGCGGGGCGCTCTCCTGGGCCTACAGTCCCCAAATGTAATAGTAATACATGTACAATGAACAGAATGAAGGACACAAGTCTAAACAATTATTGTAATGCAGTTAAATATAAAACACTCTGAAAATATAATGCAGATTTAAGAAAACGTTTAGCATGCATATGACACTGGCCAGAATGCTGATAAAAATGTCATTAGAAGGGTGGCTGGACAGAGGCCATATTTAGTAGCTGGGCGTTGGCTGATGAACCAAGCACCAAGAAAGGGAGATGCAATCAATGACGCAAACATGCAAAAAAGCCCTTGAAGAGTGTCGGTCAGGGGTGGAGTTTGGAATGGTGGTGTTACTATAGTGGCCAATAGCAAGCAGCCGATGTAATCCTTCTAAATAAAACACACAGTGTGTATAAATAAATGCACAATTGTGCCAGGGGATCAGTTTTGTAGTAATACTAATTTACAATATGTTTTATCTTTTATTTTAACGTACAAAACAGCAAAACACTTTCGTTCAGCCAGGGGGAAAAAAAAAGAAAAATCCACAACTGATGTTTATGAATGCACAATATCTGGCAATTACCAAAAATAAAACACCAATATTATAAAACTATACTCAGACAAATTTCAGGACTGATCAATAGGCTTTAAAAGTATTTCCACTAATATTTCTCAACAATGGGAATTTAACTGCTTGTGTACAGCAAAGAGCAGGTAACTGGCTCCAGGAATAAAAAATTGGATCGGTGCCATATCCAAATATGCCCTTCATTTGCATGAGGTATTCCACCCTAAAATAATCAAACTTGTGTAGTTGCTGGAGCGTCTGTTCACATTATATTTGTATAAAAAGGGTAATAGATAACAAAATGCATTTGGACAATTACACTAAACAGGAATAATGGCTTGCCATCTATAGACAAGTTCGCTGGACATTATGAAAGCCATATTACACTGTAGCAGCATGAACACTAGGAATCATGTGTTAGTAGACTATCCAGAGAGCAAATATGTGTAAAAAAAAGAAATGAGTTATGAAAATGTCAGCTATTACATTGCATAATAGTATTCCTAGACAGTCACAAGTCACAACAAAAGGATACAATTTACAGGGTGGGAAATTAACTCGAAGGAAATGCTTTTTAAATGTAACGCTACAGAATCAGTTTACACTAGCAAGAATGGCTTATTACATGGGCAACTACAAAAAAATGATTTTAAATCCACAATCAAGCTGCGGTATAATAAATCAGCACTATGGTTGGTTAAAGATGCAGAACGTTACATGAAAACTACCCAGAGTCCAGATACATTTCACTCTGGACATTCTAGAAGTTTCAGCTGGGTGTACTTCACAATTACTGTAACACCTTTTATCACTGAAATATATTAGATTGCTTGAAGACTTTCACAAGGCAAATAGTGCCAAAAAAAAACAAACTTTAACAAAATCTAATATTTAAAAGAAAAACACTTTTTGCAATTAAAGTATACACGAGAGAAGATTGAGAATAAATACCCATGCAGAGACCAGACTGGAATGATTTCCAGTATACCAGCAATTATGCAACACAGCAGAAATTTTCACTGACAAGACATTGTTAAAAAAAATTCCTGTATCAATATAATCCTGACAAATGTTACAATCTTTCCAAAACATGAAGCTGCCCTGAGTGCACTTCTTTACTGCCATTTCCAAAAGAACTTTACTTCATAGGTAAAATTAGATCAAGTAGCCACGTCAGTTTTCTAAACATCAACATACCAGGAGAACACAGGACTGTAAATATTGTTTCTCTTCTACAGTAGACAATGAAACTTTTCACTTGTATACACCAGCTTGGCCCTTCGGGCACTGATACACACAATTTTTTTTAAATGATTTTTTTGAGGGATAAAATCAGAACAGTGAACAGATTAATTTAACGTAGAAATAGTATACAATGTATATTTATTAGACACCATAATGAAAGCACATGGCGTTTCAATAAAAAAAAATACTACATTAGAAAGTATACAAAAAAAAACAAAAAACCCCATTATGCACAAAAGCTGCTTTTTAAGCCATTTATATGGCAACTGAGACAAGTCATAAAGCTATACAACATATTACCACCGACGTAATATGAAGACATATGACAAATTACACACACTTTAGTATTTATAGTATTTACAGTCAAAGGATGCAGGAGATCTACACACACTACTTATCCCAATATTTGACTAAACACACCCACATATAAACTAAAATTGTTAAAGCATCCACTCAGCCAGAGGTGTGGCACAAATCCATAAGCAAGACATTAAAAAGGTAGCCCTTTGAATACAACAATACTACAAAACACTGCAGTATCATAGATGGCATACAAAGAGTTAATGAGCAAGACCCAAAACTTCTTTGTAGGCAGTATTTTTTGGCAGAAATCATTTCACCCTTTAGCAGAACACTATTCTGCACTGGGAAGACTACAGCAGCAAAATGATTTTGGAAAAGCAAGAACACTTCCCTTAATTCAAATGACAACTCCCGAATTACCCATCACAGCAAAATATAAATGGCTGCATATCACAGCTCGAACCTGCCTGATAATAAAACACCATAACAAGTACTCCTCAGACAAACACTTTCTACGGAAAGAATACACAACTGAAGCCATGTATCAAGGAATCCAAAACGAAGCTTTCCAGTCCTTCTGGGTCAAGGAGATGGTGCTGAGTTCTTGCCACACTAAAGCAGCACAATAATATTGGGGTTCATCATCTTAGCACCCAATATTTACGTGCTGCTAAAGCAGAGCAGGTCAAACGATTATCGCCAGGTGTCATGTCACTAGAACAGTATGGAGACAGATTCCAGAAAATACTGAAGCAGCAAATAATGATTAGTATCTTGAATAAAGCATGCAAATCATGATGTGCTGCTACAGCTTTTAAGGGCTTCGTGTTCCAGCTATATATGAAAAAAAAATATTGAGTTTTCTTTTTTTTTTTTTATTAGGTTGTAAAAACTCGTTAAGGACTCCAAAACAAGTGCAGAATCTATAGAATATGATAGGTAACCTTACCTGTAGAATAAGAAACCTGTTATGATCCAAATCGATCCCATGACTTCTGAGCAAAACACCCACATCCTTAAATGAACTCTTTTTACCACTAATGTGATACACAGAGGAATTGTCTTTGTAAGCAGTTCTGGCCACATAAAAGTTGCTGTTAGGAATCACTTCAAAATCATCGCCTTCCTGTAACAAGGTAAAATATCAATATGTTTTTACTTACTCGTATGCAATAGGACCACAAAAAAAAAATGTAAAAAAATTATCTTGACTCAGTTTGGCAATTTATGATAAATAAAAAAAAAATTGTGATTTTCTGAATAAATGGTTATTTTTATATTTGCTATTAATTGTAAAAGTTTTTTTTCCAATACATTTAAAATGTAGCTTAAAAAAAATAACAGAATAAAAAGTATTTTAGTGGTAGTAGTAGTAGTAGTAGAAGTGACAAAGCTGTTTGTAAAAGAAAAAATATTTTTATTTTATCAAATAAATTCAATTTTAATAGCACGCTAGCTTTTATTTGCAGGCCTTAGATAACAATGGGGAGAATATCAGCATACAAACAAAAACAGGAGGTGGGAGGAGTATTTAAAGGAGTAAGTTTGTACAAAAATAGAATGTGACACCAAATATGAAAGAAAGAGAAGAGATAGAAGTACACCAAATATGCAATGGAATTCAAAATTATTAAAAATATGGAAAAAGTTGACTTTTTTCGAACACAAAGAAAAAAAAATGATACCTATCTGATAAATTGTACCAACTTCCAGTATTAAATATTTAAAAAAAAAGACAAAAGAAAATTCTTAGACTTACCTTATCTATGATTTTCTGAAAATGAACTTCCACTGTACAACTTTGAACATCTTTATGTTCATCTGAGTTGTGGATCAGCACAGACAGCTTTTTGGATCTTATTTTTTGTGCTCGATATCCAAAAACAAAGAGCATAGAATCAATAACGTTAGACTTTCCACTGCCATTGGGCCCAATAATACATGAGAAACGCTAATCAAAACAAAAAAGAATGGAAAGACAATGAAAAAAATAAACAAATACAAAATATGGCATTTGTTTTTCAGACGTAAAATATAACAACCCAGCAATTCACTCTGCCAAGGGAAAAAAAAAAAAAAAAAAACAGTTGAAAGCAGCTCCCTGTAACAAACTTGATTACATAAAGATCTTGGCAGCATTTTCTCAGCATTATCCTGTATATAGATCTATGTTACACAATAACAGGTCATGAGGAATGATTTTGCTAAGGAATGCTATACACACACTACAATAAGATAGGTCTTACCTTATGAAAAGGCCCCAGGATTTGCTCACCAGCATACGATTTGAAGTTCTGGTTTACAATATGGGTTATCATGAGACGAGGAGCTCCAGCTTCATTGGTCATTGCTGGAGGTGGGGGAGGAGGGATGCTACTCAAAATCTCCTCTAAACTTCGATTATCAAGTGCCTCATTAGAAGCTTCTATAAAAAAACAAGAACACACATATGGGCTGTGTACGATTGCGGCAAGATGAATGAGACACTGGTGAGCAGAGTAGAAGTACAGGTTGCACCCCATCCTAGTGGCACAGGCTGTTGTAGGGTCCCGATGAACGCCCTTCCTCCTCCCGAAGCCCCCACCCCAATAACTAAGGCAGACATCGGGTTTTTACACCGTTTGCAGAGGGAGCCGGTGTGAGCTTGCAGACTACAAGCTGACAGCATGCATTGAGCGATGAGAAAGTTCGCTCAGCCAGTCCTATGTACTATGCAGGAGTGTTGGCCAACGCATCATGCGTAAAACATGCATAGGATCAGGCAGAAACATTACTGGCCTCACCTGACAATACACACACAACGATCGGCACGCCGCCTGTGTGCACAAAGTTGATCAGATCGCAGTTGAAATCACTGACGCCTGCCCAGCTTTCACTCTGCGATATTCTCCGCAGTCAAGGAGTTAATCGCCTGTCAACGTCCCAATGGTCATGCTCTTTACACAAAGACGACCCCCCCCCTCTTCCCTGTGCGCAAACTGCCAGCTCCCCAAAGATTGCAGGGGAGGAGGGGGGTACATCACAGAGACAGGCAGAAAAATGACACCCCATTCCTAATCAGAAAGCCCGATCACCCCACTAGTATATGAGGACTGCAGCGTGTCAGTGAGTGAGTGCACGGTCCCATTCACAGCGGACCCCCGCCCCCGTGTAACGTGGTGGTGTCAGTGCCATGCATACCCCGTGTAGGTGGCGGCAGTGCCATGCATACCCTGTGTAGGTGCATTCCCATCTGCTTGGACTTCTGGGGCCGTCGGGGCCGCATTACTGTCATCCAGCGACTTCTCGGAGGGCTCTCTGGCCGCAGCAGTGGACGGTTTAGTCTTTTTGGGTGGCATGATGATGATGAGGAGGATCCCTGTGTAGCCAAGACACAAGGCAAGTCATCAGAAAGGAGCCCCCACCCCAGTATATGACTAGCTAGGGCTCCCCAGGCAAAGGACACCTCTGGCTTCACATACAAATAAAATCGGATCTGGAGTCTATGAGTTGGATTTGGGGGCAGAAGTTAGCGATTGTCTGTGTGTTCTCCATGACACTGACATGTCAGCTCCCGGGATATCCAGTCACTGCACCCATCTCCTACTCATCATTACTATCTACCTGGGTGATGAGTGACCCCCACTCCGACATGACACAAAAGTGTGACTGGGGGGGGGGCACAGCCAAAAATCACAGGACATGTCACCGATATAATAATCACAGAACACTCCCTACCCTTGTGTTATAGCTGTGTGAATTCAGCATGGTACAGCATAATCCGTCATTCCTTTCACTCAGGATGATCGTTATCATACCGGCTTATATGTATATGACCTGTTATTTATCTAGTGATTAGGATACACTAACGTTACCCTATATCTAGAGGCCATAGGACGCACTGATCGGTATTATATCTACTTCGTGCGATCTGTCATTTATCTAGTCATCAGGACACTAATATCCAAAGGCCAATGAAACACACCGATCGGTATAGCTACTTCGTGCTCAGATGATGTCATTTAATAATCAGAATGACCCAAAAGTTACAATATAAGACCATGAGACACACCGATCCCTATCACATGGTGATATATATATATATATATATACATATACACACACACACACAGAATGTTCAGACTGTCATTCATCTAATAAACAAGATGTCCTAAAGTTATAACACATCACACAACCATAAATCACACACCGATCGGTATCACGCTGTGTGCTATGGGAATTCTTTGATATTCATGCAATAATCAGGATGACCGAAAATTACATCTCTAGACCAAAAACCACACCGATCGGTATAGTCAGCGATCTGACATTCAATTAATGAGCTCAATGGATTAAATTTGCAATATGTACACATGAAACACACCGATCGATATAACAGGTATGTCAGTGGTCGGCCGATCTGTCATGGATTCAATAATTAGGGTATGGTAGAAGTGACATCTCTACAACACACCGATCGGTATGTAGAATTGTTAGTGTTCATTCTTTCCACAATCAGGATTTCCTAACGTTACATCTGCAACAGTGATCGGTATGTGTGTTGTAGGGATGTCAGTGGTCGGCCGATCTGTCATTCCTTCCATACTCCGGACACGATCCAGAAGGGAAGAAGTGTCCCCAGCTGGCGATGGGAAGTGGTTTTCCTGGGTTCACGTATGTGATGAAGCCAACCCTGAAAATGTGTTGTAGAGCCCGGGCTGACATGTTCCCCCTGTGCTCGGGTCACGGTGACAACCTTTGATAAATAAGGTGATGTGATCACCCGGGGAGGCGATGAGCTGAATAAAGATTAGCGGAAAAAAGTTGGTGAAAACTAAGCAGACAATCTGTGTCGCCGTGGGACTACAAGTCCCAGCATGCCCCGGTATCTCCTCACTTCTGCCGGGCTTCCATACACATGACAGCTGGCTGTGCCGCCTGCCCCTCCATAGACTGTCACAGCGGTCGCATCCCGCTAAAATGAAATAAAGCCATTCTCCGGGCTCATTCACCTCTCCAGCCGCTCCAGCCCGACCGCCCCTCTCCCCAGAGCCTGTCTGAATTTTTTGCCGATTTTTCGCGCTGTCCTAGGCGCCCGGCGAGCCTTCTTTCCCCGGTGTATAGCCGCCGTGCTTAGCCCCTGCCTGCTCGTACTTCAGATACTCCACTCGAAAATGGCGCCCAAAATCCAAACTCAAAGCGAAGTTCGTTACAAACGCGCGGTGCATTCTGGGAGCCTCTAGTCAGATTTGAAAAAAAAAAAAAAATGGTGCCGGCTGCCATTTTCCGAGCAACTCCGCAACGTTCGTGACGCGGCTATAGGAGTTCCATTACGGAGAGCTAGCCGGTGAATTCTAATGGGCGCATCACGCTAGAATGGTCACTGTAATAACGGTAATTAATAGAGAGAAACATACAAATTGACGGTTACGGGACTGTTAGGCGTTTTGAATGGGCGGGACTCGGTTGCGGGGCAACAGATAGGGGGCGTGTTAGGCAACTAGAGAAGGCCTCGGTGGGCTGGCCTTGATTAGTTTTTAGTTATTTGAGGTGACTGGGCAACTAGTCACGTGACGGTCCTGCATGACCGCCATGTTTTGTTCTGGCAAAGTGCCAAACGAGTTAGTAACGGTAAACAAAAATAAAGAATCGATTATTCAAACAAAGCCAAGCAACCGTGAGACAGGGCCTAACATTCAATAGATTTTGGAATTCACGTGTATAAGTCTAATTTGAAAAGACTGTTGCCAGATTCGTGCCCAATTCAAACATGGGGGCCCGTTTACGAACTCAGACGTCAAAGAGTGCGATGTGTCAGTTATTTCTTCGCTTTAGTGTCTTATATGATTAGATTTCCTTGTGGATGTTTCTGCTTTGATGATGACGTTTTGTTATTAGGCTGGGGAACGTTTACGGGGTTTTCCCCCTGAAGTTGGTACCTACTGAAGAGCTTTGCGAAATCTCGCGATACGTAACCATAGTGACTGAACGCGCTGACAGTGGTGTGGGCTGCATGGAGACAGAAGGGAAGGAGGCCCGAGCGGTTGTCATCGAGGTACAGGTAATGGAGCGGGGAGGAGGGTGATCAGCACACAGGGACCTGTCATATATGTGTTGTTTATACGTATATATAAAGATAGGCTTGTTTACTCTGTTCATCTAATTGACTTTCATACCAGTCAGTGATTAGTACTCTACCTGGACAGTGCTCTGTACCCCAGATCTTCCAGAGAGAATTCATATATGATCACAGAGGACCATCAGTGATATAGGCTGCTCACAGACAAAGGACCATCAGTGTGATATGCTGCCCACAGACAGAGGACCATCGGTGAGATATATGCTGCCCACAGACATAGGACCATCAGTGAGCGATATGCTGCCCAGGGACAGAGGACCATCCGTGAGAGATATTCTGCCCAGGGACAGCCAAATATGATATAAAGCAGTGGTTCTCAACTTGTGTTATCTCAGGACCCACATTTGACCTTCGTCATTAAGTCACGACCATTAACCACTGCACTGGAATGCACGGCATTGCGGTACCTTGCGTTCTGATGAGGGGGATCGAACTGCAAGTGGGAGGTGAGTTTGAGGTGCCATACCCCCAGCCTACCCCACCTCAAGCTGACACTCTGTGTCGGACAGCATATTTTGAATGACTGCTTGGCATGAGAACTAGTGCAGTGGAAGTCTTGTGGACAACCTTCAAAAAGTGAAGGATGCTCGGACCGACGGCAGTAAAACCTAACAGTTGTCTTACTTCTTCTTCTCTCTCTAGTATAGCTGGACCATTAACAATAATTTGTGGACTACTTTGCTCTTCGCTACTAAACTTTTCTTATTGATCTTTACTTCAGATAAGTCTGATAAGGTATATTAGAAGGTGTATTAGGAAATGTATGTATGGCATGGCTGGAAGACCTATTAACATATTGTTAAAAAGAAACTTCACCACTCTGCTTCTTTTTTCTAATGCAGGTGAGAGAACACTTCCACATTCGAAGAATCCAAAATTCATCCCTTGTTGAACTTCAGCAAAATGAGACTCAAGACTTCTTTGTTAAAGGAACCAAAACATATCCTTTTCATTGAATAATTTCAAAGCAGTCCATCCCTTTTTTTTTTTTTTTTTTTTAGATGTACTCGGCCATTTTTCTTTTTTTATACTTCACATGCTCGCCTCAACCCCATTTATTCCTACGGATAAGATGTATTCAAAGATACCAATAGAGGCGGCGCAAAAAAAAAAAAATCATCTATTTTTTGTAAATAACATTGCAATGCTTTGTACCAAAATCATAATTATGGTGTCCTTTTAAAAAGGAACATTTTTATTGGATAACATTTATATATTTTCTTTTTTATCTACAGTAACCATAATTTCTATAAAACTGACACTGGTCAAAGTAGAAAATAAGTGTTTTTTTTTCTTTTTTTTGAGAGACAGTATTGCCAAAACAAAGCCTTGTTTGTCATAAAATGAAGAAATAATAATAGAAAAATAAATATATATTACTATTTGTTTATTTCCGTTCGAAGTCCATGTAGAGAATCCAAGGTGCCCACGTTACAGTGTAATGTAAGTGTAGGTGAGTGTCGAGGCTATGGGCTGCCAGTCTTTTCTTTGCACATTATGGTGCAGAATTCCTCATCTCATTTGGGATGCATTGCTTAGGAATGGTGGTGCGTGGTATGAATCGAGCTCTGTTTGATGTGAAAAAGCAGGCCACGAATAATTGTAAAAAGGGTTACCTGGGTCAAGTTTGAAACACCTGGTTCCAAAAGGGTTGGTATCTAACACAGCTTCGCCATATGTGATGCATGCTCTCTATGTCTGCGGTACAACACCATCACAAGGGTGATTTGTCTGTAAATATCCCGTGGAGCAAGCTTAAAGGAGAACTATGGTGTTAGTGCTTTTCCCCACAGTTCTCCTAAGGGTAACGGAAGGACACTGACTAGCGTCCTCCCGTCACCCAAAGCTCAGTATTCCGCGAGCTGCAGCTCGCGGTATGCTGAGACGCTGCCGCTGAAACGGATCCCGATAATTATGTCTGGATCCACCCAGCTGCGTGGGTAACAGCTGGCCCTGCCTATCTAGAGGCAGAGCCAGCTGTACCCGCCCCTTCCACTGTCCGTTCTGACAGTCAGCGCTGGAGGATCAGACAGGGGAGGGGGGGAATTCAGTCACTCCCCTGTCACGGCTCTCTGCAGTGACAGGATCGAGAAGTGAGCGAACGCCTGTATGTGTTCGCTCACCTCCCGATCTACTGAGCCGACCTGTGACAGTTTCATTGCCACTGGTCGGCTAGAACTATGAGGATGAGTGAAAATCGCTCACCTCATAGTTCTCCTTTAAGGAACCTGTACCATCTGGTCTGTATTTTAATTCTTCTTTCCTGTGCTGAGCTTGCTGTAGATATTTTGTGTAGGTGGCTATAAGAGATTTGAACGTCATAACGTTAGGGTTTAGTTAAGGTCACTTTTCCATTCTGCAGCGTAGTATGGGCAAGCGCAGGACCGCGTCGTTAAAAGAATGCAGTAAAACATGGAGATAACGTGGGTTCGGAAGGATTCAAACATTGTACTTTGTAGGGCTGAAACAACTAATTCCATCAAATAGATTATAATCGATAATAAGAAACATTGTCAACAATTCTCATTATCGATTAGTTGAATCCCTGCCGCCACTCTACTCCTCCGTTCTTCTCCCCGCTGGTGCCGGCTGTTCCTTTTCTGCCTCCCGTGCCTCCACTGCACGCACTGTTCCTTCTCTGCTCCCCCCCTTTCCTTCTCTGCTCCCCTGCTTTCCTTCTCAGCTCCCCCGTTCTTCTGCCGGTTCCAGCTTCTGGTGCCAGTTCTCTTCTGCCGGTGTTCTATCAGTCCGAGGGATTGATAGGACACCGGCGTCAAGTCACCCATCAGCGGATGGAAACAATAGCCAGTCTGCTATTGGATATTTTAAATTATAATAGCCAATAACAGGCTAGCTATTGCACCTGTCCACTGCCTGCTGTCAAACAGCAGAGAAGGACATGAAGGAGAACTTTCTCCTTCAGTTCCCTCCTGTGCTAATTGGCAGTGGTCGGGTGCAATAGCCAGCCTGCTATTGGCTATTGTAATTTAAAATAGCCAATAGGAGGCTGCCTATTGCACTGGAATGCATTGTACTGCAATGCTGTACGTTCCAGTGCCGTGCAATTACAAAAGAATGTGCATACCATTTTATTCTGAAGTAAACTTTGTTTATAACACTTCATTTGTGTATTTAATTTTAAATAAAAGACAGTATTTTAATTTTTTTTCTTTAATCGATTTAATCGAAAAAGTAATCGACCATCTAATCGATTATGAAAATAATCATTAGTTACAGCACTTTGTCTATGTCTGAGAGGGGCTTGAGAGTGTCTGCTTTGAAAACTGTAACTGTTCAGGAGGGTTTGTATCTGTTCCATCGGAGGAAAAGAAGCAGACATAGTGCCCGTAGGGAAGGCCAGATTGTCCATGACAGGTGTCATGGGGCTTTATACTGAGCCTAGGGTGACGGGAGGACGCTAGTTTGTGTCCTCCCGTCACCCTAAGGAGAACTATGGGGAAAAGCCTTAACCCCATAGTTCTCTTTTTAAGCTAGGAGTTCCGTGGTTTCAATAAGGGAGGCAAACAAAAGAAAAGTGTGTAATAATATCTTACTTTTTAAACTACAGCCCGAGAACCTAAAAGTACACCTTTTCTTCCAAATAAATGTGTAATAACTCTTCCAATTGGCTGTTCTGGGGAGATCTTCCCTGTATGGTTTTTCCATGTCCATGTGTGTGTTGGGCTCTCTTCCAAATCTTCCCCGTCATCGGCATCCCAAATACCATTGACGTCAGTAGGATGCTCACCCACATCTTGTCAACCTAGTGTAAAACTTTAGGGTTATGACTAAAGAATTTCTCTAAATGCTTGGCCACATCTGATAAACTGGAATATTTAGCTTCTTAGCCAACCTTTTGAAATGTACAGGAAAAATAAATTTGCTTGTTTAATTGCAGCTTACACAGGCAAATATGAGCATGGTATAAGAAGATACTGCATTCCACCAGTTCGATATTTAAATGAATGAAGGGTGCATGATTTAACCCCAATTCCAAAAATATTGGGACGCTGTGTAAAATCTACATAAAAACAGAATGCAATCATTTGCAAATCTCATAAACCCATATTATATTCAGAGGGGGGAAAAAAAGGGACAACCTTCCTATCTCAAAACTCCAGCAACTGGTCTCAGTTCCCAAACATTGTTGTTAAAAGAGCAGGGGAATGCTACATTGTGGTAAACATGGCCCTGTCCCAACTTTTTTGAGACATGTTGCTGCCATCAATTGCAAAATTATCTTATTTTTTTCTTAAAGTGACATTAAACCCTCAGATTTTTTAACATAAACCAATACTGTAATGTGTGCCTTACTGTAATCCATGGTAGTTTCCCTTCTCTTTGCTGCTCTTCCTTTTAAATCCTCGTGTCTTCTCATGCTTGGGAGAACTTCCCTTTTCAGCTCAGGGCCTCTTCCTGTAGTGCTGGCTCAGGTTACAAGCCTATAGAAACTTCTACACAGACACCGTGTATCCATTCCTGAGACAAGGCAGTCTGCTGCAAAACAAAAGTTCTGCAGAGCATGAGAACAGATACGGATTTAAAAGGATGAGCAGCAAAGAGAAGTGAAACAACCATGGATTACAGTATGGCACACATTACAGTATTGTTTTATGTTAAAAAATCTGAGGGTTTAATGTCACTTTAACTACTTGCTGACCGGGGTGTTTACACCCCCTTCCTGTCCAGGCCATTTTTCAGTCTTCAGCGCTGCGGTACTTTGACTGACATTTATTCAGTCATGCAACGCTGTACGTAATACGTAACGTAAGTACCAAAAATGTAAAAAATAATAGTTTTCCCTACATTATATTATGAAACATTTCTTATTGCTCATGAATATAACATGGGTGCAAAAATGGAAAAAAGGGCCTCAGTCATGAAGGGGTTAAAATTGTGCGCGCCCGCTAAATTGCAAAAAACTACCATACCCACAATTGGTTATAGGGGACGCTTTAAAAGCTTTACCGATCATCAGTTTAGTGTTGACAGTGATTGATGGCTCCAAAATTATTGCTCTTACTCCAACGTTCACAGCGATATGTAGCGCAATAGGAGCAATTGTAATTTTCGCACGTAGGTGCCCCCGATGCATGTTTGCATGTGTATGTGGGGGCGGGGTACTTTAGAATATTTTTTTATGCTACTTTACTTTTTTTTACACTTTTAACTTTTTTGCTCTTACTTTTTTGCCCCCTATGTGATAGCCAATTTACAATGACAGGTCCTCTTTTTGGAGACATCAGGGCTCTTTCAGACCCCTAATGTCACCTAGGGACCCCCAAAGAAGCTGATGAAGCAGAGATCTGCTTCACCAGCTTCTTTCCAGCTTCTGTAGCCGGGAATTACAGCTGAATGCCGAAGTGATATACACACACATGCAAAATACAAGCGATCATGCTTCTCTACTTCCGGCGGAACGCTTGTATTTAAACAGCTATCTCTGACTGTTTTAAATTTGAGCAGTTTTCTCACTCATGTACGTCGTCCAGTTGGGGCGGGGAAGGACGTTTTAAAATGCCCACCTGCATCCAGAAGGCTCCTGTCCAGCCGTTTTAAGTACGGCTGCTGTACGGGAACCAGTTAAAATGGTAAATTCTCTCCGTTTAAACATTTGATATGTTTTCTATTGTGAATAAAATATGGGATTTTGAGAAATCCTTGCATTCTGTTTCCATGTAGATTTTACACAGCATTTGTGTGTATATATGTATATATTTTTCCCTCTGGAAACCTATGTTGATCTCCTTAATTCCACTGAACATAAGGAACTGGTTAGCTGCGTGGGCTGGACCTCCGCTGATGAACTGTATTCCTTCAGTGATGACCATCAAATTATGAAATGGAATTTGTTGAATGGTGAGACAATGCTGGTAGTGAAACTCCCAGATGATACATATCCTATTGACTTGCACTGGTTTCCCAAGAATGTTGCTAACAAGAAACAAGGGCAATCCGATATGTTTGTGCTTACAAGTTCTGATGGTGAGTATGTTTACTCTGTACTTAACATATTGCTCAGTTAAATAGGTGTGTTTGCTCTTCCTACAAGTTCAAAGAAGTCCCCACCGCAATCCTTACTGGTATGTCCCTTGTAAGGTGGGTGCTGCAGTAATAGTGGATGGCGCCACTTCAAATCCAAGTAGTAAAATATATTCTGGTGATCTATTTTACTACTTGCTCTTCATACAAGGGGTGATTATTGGGCAGATTAAGCATTTTTCAATAGTCCCAACGATTCAGCAAGAATACATTATTATTTATTGAATGGGTCCAGTCACTTGACAACCTCATCTGACTGTTGGCGGCAGCACTATCTTGGATTCCAGAGTAGGTGCCAGTCCTCTCCATCAGATATGACCATATTTGTGCTTGAAACACATATAAATGGTTACCCAAGTGTTACATTGCTTTTTACATGTATAGATCGCCCACATTTGTTGGCATAATAAAAGTTTGATGCTTTATACTTCAGTACTCAGCAGTACATGAGTGTTTAAGGGTTTTATATCTATAATATTACTCAGCAGTACATGAGTGTTTAAGGGTTTTATATCTATAGTATTACTCAGCAGTACATGAGTGTTTAACCCCTTCATGACTGAGGCCTTTTTTTCATTGTTTGTACCCATGTTATATTCTACATTTTAGGCCTGAAAATTACTTAAAACCCCCCAACATTATATATTTTCTGAATGCCAAGACCCTATAGAATAAAATGGTGGTAGTTGCAAATTTTTATGTTGCGCAATATTATAACATGTGTGGCGCGTTCGTCGTTTTCATACGTAGACGCACCCGACTCGTGTTTACGTTCCCTAAGGAGAACTATGGGGGAAAAGCCTTAACCCCATAGTTCTCCTTTTAAGGGTTCTATATCTTTAGTATTACTCAGCAGTACATGAGTGTTTAAGGGTTTTATATCTATAGTATTACTCAGCAATAGCTGAGTGTGTAAGGGTTCTATATCTTTAGTATTACTCAGCAGTACATGAGTGTTTAATGGTTTTATATCTTTGGTATTACACATATTTCATCTGCTTCTAACCAATCTACACTTTAAAAAAAAAATTCTATTACTAATGCAAACTAGCAAATATCCTAAACATATGATATTGGATACATCATGAGAATGACAAATCACTAATAGAATGCCTGCCAGTCTCTATGGAATTGCTCCCTCACTGCCCCAGTGGGCGAGATTCAGCAGCATTAAGGGCCAGTGAGGGGGTGATTCTTTGGGGTAAGGTAATAGGCTGACATGCGTGACTCTGTCACTGGGGTTGTGTTGCTAGCAGCAGAGTCACCCACATGACATCAGCCTTAGTAAACCGCTGTTAAGGCTTGATAAAACAAAATGATCTAAACAATTTATTTGAAGGAAGAATTGTCTTTTACAATGGCAAACAATCAGGTCATTGCCTTCGTGTTTCTTTTGTAAGTAGGAAAGGAAAAAAAGTTATCTAATTGTTTGACATCAGTCCACGCCCTCAAGGAGCTTACATTCGAAGGTCCCTATCTCACATGCATACATACAGTGCCAATTTAGCCAGGAGCTAATTAACTTTCCGGCATGTGGGAGGAAACCCAAACACAGGGAGAACATGCAAACTTCTTGCAGATAGTGATCTGATGCTTATTTAATTGAAGTTTTTTGTCATATGACCAACAAGCGCTTTTCGGGACCACACAGGGTCTTTTCATCAGGCTTTAGCATTGACGATGAAGAGACCCTGTGTGGTCCCAAAGAGACATCATTTAAGGTAAGTGCTAGCATTAACATTGGGGGAGGGGAAAAAATGTATCCTTTAATGTCACTTTAAGCTTTTGCTATCCTAAAAGGACTGGTGTGCTGGTGAAATTTTTCTACAATTTTGCTCACATTCGCTGTGCTATCCGCAGTCACTGCGAGCACACCCCACTACAAGGGACATATCGGTAATGAGTGCGACAAGGATAGTACTTAGAGACCAGTCCAGTGACACACAATGAAATCCAAAACATAAACCTGACACTAACTACATACTACGTTTCTACTGTACGGTCGCACGTCTTTTGTCTTACGAGCATATTGGAAAAACAGCTGAAAATCGTAAGATTTTCGTCGGGTTTGTGGCGTGCTCGTAAGACAAATGCCGCACGGGCCGGTGTGCGCAAGCGCACACTGCCTGCTCAGCGGGGCGGGCTTGCGATGATTGCAAGTACGATCTGCCTGTCCAAGACGAGCTGCCCAAGACGAGCTGCCTGCTCAGCGGGGCGGGCTTGCGATGATTGCAAGTACGATCTGCCTGTCCAAGATGGGCAGATTGTACAAGCATTTAATTAGCTTACAACCATCGCAATACAAAAGTCTTGCGATGGTTGTAAAGTGTATGGCCAGCTTTAGACTCTCTGCTGCCCAGATTCCAGAGCAGTGTCTGTTTGCCTTACCTGCACTAAATTACCAATGAGGGCAAGGTGTAAAATCTGGGGCTGACTAAAGGTACTGAAAGGCATAAGACCAGAATCTGGGTGATGCATATTCCCTCGGACAGGGCTTCTACTGCCTCTCTGCCTGACCACCTGCTACAATAGATATATTTAAAACTAGGCCCCTGCATGTGTATTAGAGATGTTTGTAATCACACAAAAATAGCAAGACCTTTAAAAATTGTGGTCAGTGGGTCTATTTAGTAAATCAAAGAGCTGTGCAAATGGCAGTAACCCATTGTAACTAACCCACATTTCCATCCAGTCCTCCTATCTCAAATATCTTTCACTGGTTCAAGAAAAGAGAAATCTGTCTAGGTAATTTCAGTTTGCATGGCGTCATTGTTCTTTTTATGATTCGTGAAATAATGCCATATTATAGTGTTAATTGAATGTGCTAGCTGAAAAATCATTAAATAAGTACAAGTGTGTTACAAATAGGTATGGGTCTATTATTCAGAACTAACAGAACTTTCATTAGGTTCATTTTTATTACTATTCGGTACTATTACTTGCAATGGTGTTGTAATTGCAGTAAAACTATTTTCAAATATTCTTTGCAGAAGTTGTGCATTATTCTTTCCTGTCATGACTTTTTTTTTTTCTAGGAAAATTCCATCTAATTACTAAGGTCGGCAGAGTAGAGAAAAGTGTGGAGGCTCATTCTGGAGCAGTACTTGCTGCCCGCTGGAATTATGATGGGACAGCACTTGTTACAGGTAAAATAAAGTTGCTTTGTGATTCTAATTAACCATTGATCTTGTTGTAGCTTTTTTTTTGTATTATGTTTTAGAATGAACTCTTAGGCCTTGTTCACAACAAGCGCGTTCCAGGAGCAGAGCAGATCTGTTACAGACCGAATCAAAACTGCGTCCAATGTAGTCCAATGGTATTTTGAGCTCTAGTTCACACCACAGCGTGCAGTTCCAGAACATGAAAAAAAACTGCAGCAAGCCCTATTTTACCTGCTCTGGAATGCTCTGGAACGCATGCAAACACCCTGGAACGCACTGAAAGCCCATTTAAAACCAAAAACGGCCGGAAACGCATTAAAAACGTGATACAAACCACTGCACTGCGTGTGCAGAAATTCATGCAGATCTGGTCTGCATTTGGTGTGAACAAGCCCTTAGAGCATATCTCTAACTAAAGACTGGTGGCAGGAAGGTGTGTGTGTTGTAGATCCTGATTGGCTGCTAGTCCTGCCGCTTCCTCTCCCTGCGGCTGTGCAGGCCGTGTTTGCAATAGGGCTGCAAATAATGATTATTTTCATAATCGTTTAGTTGGCTGATTTATTTATTTAGATTAATTGGATAACAAACAAAAAATACCATCCCTAATTTTAATATTTAAAATAAAATACACAAATGCAGTGTTACAAAGTTTACTTCAGAATAAAACTGCATGCACAATTATTTGCATTCGCACTGGAACGCACAGCATTGCGGTGCTGTGCATTCCAGCGTGGGCGATCACACTGTGTGCGGGAGGCACTTTTGGGGTACTATTGAAATGAATGGCACTGCAACGCACCTCCTGCAGTAGAATGTATCAGGCCGCAACTAGAAATGACTTTTTCCCACCTTCTTATAATTTTTAAAAAATAATTGTACTGTAAGCACATGGCGCTTGAATTGCTTCAGCCAGGGAATGACAGCTGTCAGTGGCAAGATTCCACAGATGTCAGCTGAATGTAACTACATCAGGTAGTGGGCTGGTTCAAAAGCCAGCCTGCCATTGGCCATTTCAAATTGCAATAGCCAATAGCAGGCCGGTTATTGCACCCGCCCATTTCTTGCTGTGCCCTTCTCCCAGCATGGAGAAGAGAGCTAGGAGATCCAACCAACTAATCGATAATGAGAATAGTTGACAAGCATTCTCATCGATTATTATTGAATTATCGATTAGTTGGTTGCAGCCCTAGTTTGGTAGCTTATTTTAAGAGAGATTTAATTACTTCTACTAATTGCACGTAAATATATCTAATAACTTTTAAAGAAATACACAAATGCATTCATTGTGTGTGTGTGTAATATACAGTATATATATATATATATATATATATACACACACCTGGAATTCATCTTTATGCTATCATAAACAGAGTACAGTTTTTACACATAAGGTAGTAATAACAGTCCACTAACCATTTCCATTACAGATCTTTAGGAAATTGGTTTGGCATTTCCTAACTAAACATAATCCCTGCACCTATCTCTTAACTCCAATTTATCCCATAACTGGGTCTAACCTCTGAAGCTAACTCTAAACTTGAACAGTAACAGCAGCATTAGCACTGCCATGCTAAAAATATATTTTGATGATATTTTGCACCTATTTGCAATGTGCCAATCACCATTACCAAAAAAAACCCTTACTGAAACTTCTGTGTTAAAATCAAGCAATCCAACAAATTCTTGTTCATATTGTTGATACACAGTTATGTACGTGTGAATTTTATGGTTTCATACCCTCGTAAAACCCAGCTGTTGTTAAAGTGTTTTTTTACCAAAGACATTTCAGAACATGGTTTTTATAAAAGGGGAAACTGGAAAGAGGAATTCAGTTTGGCCAGATTCATTGTTCTGGAGTGATTTTGAAAACTTAAGGAAATCCTTATATAAATAATCTTAACCCCCTACAGTGGGGCTACCCGCACACTGCAAGGGTTAAGTGCTCGTTTTCATCTAGGGGTAAAAATATCAAAGATATACATACCTGTACCTCTCTGCTCCAGCGATAGACTGTCCCTTAGCGTCCTGAAGTCCAACACACTGTATTGGATGTGATGACTCACAGGATCTTAGACTGCCAGAGTGGAGGGGGAGCATGGCTGCAGGGACTGGTTTAAAGGTTGAGGTGAGTATATCTTTATTATTTTCCTGCCTAGATGAAAATGAGCACTTAACCCTTGTAGTGTGGGAGTAGCCCCACTGCAGGGCTTAAGATTATTTCTGCCTGGAATCCTTCTTTAAGATAAACCTGTGCTTTCCACAGGCAAGCCAACAGCTTCACTTTAGGGGGGCCCCACTAGCTGCATATACGTACCTTCCATGGGGCCTCATTTTCTTCTTTGCTTATCAGAAGTAGAGAGAGATAATTTTGTAAGCCTCAAGTGACGACTTGGGGTTTACCCAGGGCTGAGGACTCTCACACCTGTGCAACACAATTGGGCCCGAGTGGCCATTGCTGAATGCCAGCACCGTTTTGTGGGAAGCAGGGGAGGGAGTCATATGCTCAGATATAGTAGGTCTTTTTCTGCTCTCCTGGCAGCCAAATGGATCAGTGAAGCGACAGAGAAAAGATGAGGTTTTTTCTTCTGTGGTGCTGTTTCTAAACTGAAACTGTTGCTTTGCCCTGCATAGGCAAAGTGCAGGTTCAGGAAAAATCACACTAATTGCTATAGGCGTAACCCTTACCTCTCCATCCCTCCGCTTTTGTAGTATAACTTATTGATGGGACTAGATACGATCCTATGTTATTGGAAATCTGCAAGTACTGTAGATGGTATTCAGGATTTTGCAGAAGGATATTTAAGGAGAAATTCATTCTATATATTTGGAGTCCCGTTTTGAAGCCTATACATACAATACATAAATTAACATGCTTTTACTAAGAGGTGATAGCAGTTAATACTTTAGTAAACGAGGCTTAGACTTTTTCGCCACCCACGGCTTTTCTCAGGCTGTATGAAGCCCATGACTCATATCCTTATAGAAACAAAACACAGACTAAATATGAAGTTTGCGGCACGTCTGCTATCTGTATCTACAATGTTTTGGAAACCTTCTTTTCAGCTTTTCATTTACACTAATTAGTAGCACAATGGCGTGCCTTTTCGGTAGTATCCCATAGAATATAAAGTTTGTATTAAATTTGATGTAGCTGGAGAACACTGCTGAGATGTGCGTGAATTGTCTATGAAATTGTAAAGAGTGATGTGATCAAAGCAGGAACTTTGATCACATTCAAACAGGGAGGGCTGTCTGGGATGTAAATGAATCAATTCAGATGATTACATTATCTTACTCTAGCCGGTAGGGGACACATCGGAAATATTTCATCTCTCTTTGCCCACACACAGTTTCACATCTTTCTTAACCTCTCTTTTCCCTCTATGACAGCATTTCTTTTCTTTATAATTCTCAGCCGGACCACTGCAGCCGCTACGACCTCCTCTTAATGATATAACAACCAATTAGCTCTGATTCGAATAGTCTTATAGCAGACCTTTGAGGTTTGTGGTTTTATGGCTGTACCTTCACATACAGGAACGAAATCTAATTAATCAAAACCTGAATGGCTTTAGCTATTTGTAACTTCTCACACGAACAGATATATAAAAATCAATTTTAAAAATGTTTAGTCGTTATTTAGCTACTGGAAAGCAGTATAAAAGTCCTTTTTGCACTGACTTATCGAAAACCTAGACCATATTTATACAACTGGAGAAAGTCTTCAGCGAGCTCTTGCAGCATGATCTGCATAAGTAAACATCTGACCAGACCATCTTACCAGACCTTTAAACCTTCCATCACAGAACAGATTTTTCTATAAAACCACTGAGAATGAGTTCTCTTTCTGTAAAATTTGCTGATCTCTGCAATTCTGTTTTGCCCAGCCAAAGTAGAAATTTTGAAGGTCAACTGTTAAAATAGGGCTACACCTCACATAGCTATAACTGTATTAGGACGGACAGAGTTTCTTGTTACTGAAAATGAAAGACAAGCTTGCAAAGGGCTGCTAAATAGTGACCTATAAAAGGTAGGGAATATTTTATTAAAATTCCTTTTAGGTATGCTGTTTGAGAAAAACCCAAAGACCAAAGTGCAGTCCTCTGCTCCTTTGCATAGTCCTAGCACAAGCAGTTTCCTGAGGTTAAAGAGACTCTAAACTCGGGAGCTAAATCATCTTTTTAATTTCCAATACTTTTTATTATACAAATTTTTCAAACATAAATATACATTAAAAAACAATACAATTACAAATACACAAATACAACAACAACAACAACAACAAAAAAGACTATTTAAAGCAGCACAGGTATCATTTTCAGAATATCAGTTGGAAACAACCGTAAAGGTACATTTTAGACCATTACAGAGCTCCTTTTGTAAAAGATCTTGCACATTAGCGAGATATAGCTGTCCTATATACAGTCCATTTATCCCACATTTTACCATATTTATCTAAGATGCCACGATGTTTTAGACATTATTTTTTCAAATGCAACCACTCTAATTGTTTCTTCCACTCCCCTTTAGAAGGTGACACTGCTGACATCCACTGAGAGGCTATAATTCGATGAGCAGTAAATAGTGCTCTAGTTACAGCTACTTTTACATAATATTCTATTTTTAGGGACTCAAGTACACCCAGAATACAGACCGCGGGACTATTAAGAATCTGAATCCCATACGCTATGTTAATTTCCTTTACTATTTCTTGGCAATATCGCTTCAGCTTCGGACAACGCCACAATAAATGCATCAGTGACCCAGGTTCACAACCACACTTTGCACATTTGGAATTTTGCCTAAGTCCTGTTTTATACACAAACTCTGGGGCTCGATATGTTCTATTTACAATATAAAGTTGCGTTAGCCTATGTGTAGCAGATGGCAAAACAAATTGGATTGACTGCAGTGGCTCCTTCCAAACGATATCGTCCAGTGCCCCACATCCAATTCCCACATTTCAAGGGCGATTTACACAGAACCACTGGCAATAAATTTGAATCGGTTCTTGAGATCACCCCCTTAGTCATCGTTGCTTGAAGAATCTTATCTATAACCTCACTCAAGCTGATACATGACGTATCCCTGGATGTAGCATAAGGGCATGTCTCCGTTGTAAATATTTATGGAATTGGGTATTGGATATGTCCTTTGTAAATGCTGAAGTGTCTGCATTATGCCTTGATCATATATTTGCGCTAATGTCAAAATTCCAGCTCGTTGCCACAGCGCAAAGCCCTGGAATTTACAAACCTCATGCAGCTCTCCATTTTCCCATAATGGGGTATATATTGTAACCTTAGAAATACCCAAAAGATTTTTGATTGATCTCCACACTTTGCCAATCAGCTTTATAGTACAGTAGAACGAAGAGTAGAGGAGGGAGAATCCGCACAAGGTGCCAATCGGTTTTTCTGCAGAGCAAGGAGCATGCTGTTAAGAGAAGAGAGAGGTATGGGGTCATTGGTCTGATGCTTCTACTTTCACTCTCCGGGGTGGGCAGAAGATCTGCAAGTGCACAGAAAAATCAGGTCTACATTGAGCGACAGAACTGTTTAGATCTCGGAACTGAAAGGACAGAAATACAAAGTATTTGGAAAGGCAAAACAGCTCCTTTTTGTATTTCCTTATGTGTTTAATTTAGCAATTTGCCTAGAGTTTGTATTTAACGTATAACTAAAGCCAACATTTTTCTGTTGTATAAAAGACTGAGGAAGGGTTAAAAGTCCTCTCAGAATTTTTTTTATAGAGATTTCTCTTCACTTCCTGTTCCATCAACACAGCAGGAAGTGAGAGAAATTCTTCCCATCATAAGGGAAATCTGCTCTTTGATCTGTGTCACTGCAACCCTGTCCATCTTCTTGTTCTGGGAAAAATTATGAATGTGGGTTTTTTTCCCTTCTAATTTAGCCACTGCGACACTAGCACTATCACCCCATTCACACTGAGCGACATGCAACTCGTGCGGATTTCTTCCGTGATCGTAGTAGCGCGATATAGTGCGACTTAACACGCGACGATTGCACTAGAATTGCAGTAGAATTGAACAGCTCCATTGAAAATCATTGGGCGAGCGAGATCTTGCAATATCGCGCGGCAATATGTGCGCTTTTCAAGCGGTAATCCGCTCAATTTGAACGGTGACTAAGACCGACAGAAAGAGTTCATCTTCCCAACGGGGGCACAGACTGCATTTAGAAAGAAAAAAAAGGTTTGCTTTGGATGCACTTTACCGACTACAGTATAGTGGACCAAACCAAACTCGCTTTTACAGTTATAACATCTTTTGTAGAGCTAAAAAAAATAAAAAAACAAAGGTAATTTTTTAGTGTAAGGAAATCTGTTTTGGTTTTGCTTAGATGCGACTTGGTCCTGTACATGCTGAGTGACCAGATGCATGAATGTTAGTAACCAAAATTGTATCCATTTCTGCAGGTGGTGAAGATGGACATGTGAAGATTTGGTCACGAAGTGGAATGCTGAGATCCACATTGGCGCAGAATGGTAAGTGTTCTATTTTTACATTTCATATACATAGTTTTGCATACTTGTAAGCCTTAAATGGGCATGAAAATGATTTTTTTATTTTCCTAGGATGTAAAACGTTTTTTTTTTCCAATGTCGAACGTTTTCCAAATGTCTGTTTTATTGCATGAAAAGGTATTTCCATTAGAAACCACACTTATTGCTATGTGGCTAGAGCAGTATAAAGGTGCCAGCAGATACCTGCAGCAGCCTCTTAATACTCTGCTTTTATGCCTTGCTCAGAGGAACAGCAGTCTCCACCATCCTTTTGAAACTCAAAAAGCTATATTGCTTTCTCATGATTTAAATTTTTTTTTTTTTATCACAATGGGGGTTTCTACGTGCAATACCACGTCACAATGGCATACCCACGCAGTTCTATTAATTGCAATGGTCCCATTTGGCAAGCAACACCACCTGACAAATGCAACATGCTGTTTAAAAATGACCAAGGCCTCATGCATACAGCAATGAAAAAATTAGTTCAGATGTGTTTGGAGCTCATGTTAAAGCGTACCTTTTCCCACATCTCTAAAATAACAAAAACACAGCTTTTGAAATGTTAAGTAATGACAATTTTCAAACACATACTGTAGCTCTAGATAATTGCCAGCTTTGTATTCTTTGCATACCTTATTTCTCTTTTTTCCCCCCCACTCTTCTGTGGCCATGTTTACTAAGGGCAGATTACTAGATCTCCTTTTACTTCCTGAAAATTGGCACATGTGACTAGACATGTGACCATGCAGATTATCTTAGGGGAGGAAAATGCCTTTCACTGACATGAGATTTCTCAGCAATGCTCTGCTGATGTAACCTTCCCAGTGTGCATTGCTTTGGCAAACTGAAGTAATTTGCCCTTTCAAAGCGGGAAGAACTGTCAGAGCTTTGCCTGTCAGAACAGCTCGGATTTTGCCATAGAAGCACAGTATGGATGCTAGCATTTTTGTACCTGCAGCCATTTTTATTTTTATTTTTCTATTTACCAATGTAGTTTCTTACAATTTGCAATGATGGTCATTATTTAGGAACTTAGATTAGATTGTAGAATAATTATATACAAGAAAACGGTTTCTGATAAACTCCTCCTGTATTGTATCACACTTTTGTAGGTTTGCCAATATATTCTGTTGCCTGGGGCCCTGATTCGGAGAAAGTTCTTTACCCTATGGGAAAACAGCTCATCATAAAGCCACTGCAGCCAAGTTCCAAGGTTTTACAGGTACCAGACAACGTCCCTTTCCTAAATAATAGAGCCTAGAATATGGGAAATGTAACCATATTTATCTATTCAGGAAATATATATACATCACGAGTTGTTTGTCTGAAAAATCACGCACTAGTCTTGCCCACCATGGTGGTCACCAGTAGCCACTGGTTCCATACACTGAAAGATGGTCATATCTTTAACTTGTGTTTCTGTTTCCAGCCCTCTTTTAAGCTCACCAGCAGAACACAGAGAACTGGACTCTGTTATGCCATAAACAAAAGAAGCCTTATCTTCATTCATCATTAAATGTTTTTTTTTTTTTTTTTTTAATGCATCTAGTGTAAGTACCCAGATTTGACTGCCTGTCCCTCTGTGTCCTCACGTATAATGCTTGATTATGGGCCTAGCATTGTAGCTGATGATGTCAGTAGGCCTCAAACTGCCAGAGCATAGGGTAGAAGAGGCTTTTCCTGGGCTTAGGTAAGTAAAAGACCACCTGTGTGTTTAGGTTATTTAAATGCAGGAAACATTTTTTGGGAACTATAAACAAAATGTATGCTGCCCAGATCAAGTTCTCCTGCATTTGGATGTACCCGCTTTAAGTCCATTTAAATTAATTTAGCTACCTTTTTAGAGTTTCTCATTGGACCCTGGAGACACACAATTCCATTTTCTCTAAACATAGCTAAAAAAAACGCACCTAAACACACAGATTGAATGATACCAAAAAAATCATTATATGCATTTTGAAATGTCCTATAGACGCATATTTGTCCATGCCAGTGTGAATGAGGCCTTACACATTTATGGCCAGGTACTCCTTCACAAATCACCTACTAATATTATCTGTAAAGAAATATGTTAGCGATTATCCTTCCTTCTCCCTCATCTTCTACCCATATACCTGGGCAAACATGGTCTTGTAGATATCCCACCGCATTCCTGACTGGTATACCCCTTATAGAATAAGTGCTGAAGTGGCTGCGGATGGCGCCGCTTGAATCCAAGAAGTAAAGTATGTCACCAACACAGCAAAGATCTGTGTCCAAAATGCGTTTATTGACATTTAACCATTTTGCCAAGTAAATAGCAATGTTTCAGGGTCGCGCAGGTTTCCTTCATCAGGTATTATAAGATATTTACTTTACTCCGGCAGCAGCCATACTTTACTCCGGGGCAAACATGGTGTCACACTTCTTCCAGCTAGATCCAGTGGAATACAGAGTGTTCAAAATGGACTGCTCTTCATTCCTCAGGACATAACGCCCATTGAAGCAAAAAACAGTTGTATAAATCAAATTTTTTTTTTACAACTACTAAGTGATTTTAAAAGGGGGAGGGGCTGGGCAATTTGAGCGGACCTTGCATTTTACTGCAAGGTCCACTTTAAATGGACTATGAACTTCCGTGAATCTTGACCCGATTTCCCATTTTTCCTGCAGTTTTCCTGTTAACTATTCTTTTCTGTGTTGCAGTGGAAAGCCCACGATGGTGTAATTTTAAAGGTTGACTGGAATCCTATCAATGATCTCATTTTATCAGCTGGGGAAGATTGTAAATATAAGGTAATGCACAATGTCAAATATCCAGTTGCCAAGATCGTTTTGGCTTTCCTCAGCATAACTGAAAGCTAAATTAGGGCTAACTAGCTCCAGTCAAAGCAAGTCCGCCTTATTTAGATCTAGAGCTACTGACCACTAAGCACAAGATATTAGGCAATATTAAGCAATTGGTTGACAAATGGATAATAGGTACAGATCTAAGTGCCAGGCTGCTGTATTGGGGGGACCTCATGACGGAGATGTGTGCCTTATTCTGTTTGTATAATTTGCTTGGAGCAGTTGAGTAATGTGTGCATTAGGGTATCACCACTGGATGAGTGAGTAATTTTCTGGCTGTCCCTTCAATGTGTTGTTATGGCAGAATAATGAGCATGGGTCAAAATTATTTTTGAATGAACAATGATTAGCATATCTTGTGCACCAAGGTGCACAGGTTTGAACTTGAAAGGCACGCTATAAAGAATTGACACTTAATTAAAATTAATTAAAAATATTGAAATTACTTCTTATCTTTTTACTTGGTGAAACATCTTAGTTAGCTTTCCCCCTTTATGTAATGTTAAAGTGTATTTCCACGTTTGCAGTCAAATTTGAGAAAACCCCACTGTATGTTTGTTCTGTTTCCATTCACACAGCATAATGAAAAATATTTATATTTTTGAAATATTTCTTACCTTTTTTGATGTTTCTTTGCGGCAGGCAAAATAGTCGAGTCTAGGTTTTTTTTTCTCAGCACCTTCACTGTGACCTGTCCTTATAGAAAGACTTAGTACTGAAATTTGATGATTGTTTTTCTCTTAACTTCATTTACATTTGAATGCAGAAGCCAGGGCTATAATACTTTAACCTTCATATGTCAATTACAAGGCCCACGGGCCAAAAACGGCCTGTGGGAGGATTTTTGTGGCCTGTCTGCAAGCAGGGTGATTATTTTTTTTAACAAGCTGATGTTTGGACTGGCAATATGGGAGCCCACCCTCTGAGGACCCCACACAGCCCTCGTAGGACCCTGCACTAGTGGCATAACATCAGGGCCATGAGAAGGAAGGAAGCTAAGGGAAGCTTAACAGCAGTTCCGGAAAACAGAGCCAGAGCCGTGAGCCCGCACCTGCTGCTGCCTTCCCCTTTAGCAATACATCAGCCGGGCACATGTCTGTCGTACTCTGCCTGCCAGCACCTATTGAAATGGGAATCGGAGGATCTGGTGAGCCCGGTTGACGGGTATTGTGGGCCTGGGAGAGCAGTGGAGAAGCGGGGAACGGTATCAGGGGGACAGCCAGCTGTGTAAGGGTGCTAGCTGGCAGATTTCTGATGCCTGCAGTGCAGATGTGTGTGTATAATCTGCAATTATTGCTCCTAACCTCTGTACTCTGCCTTATTTACTCCTGAACTCTGTATTATTTACTTCTGACCCTGTACTCTGCATTATTTGCTCCCGACTTCTGTACTCTGCCTTATTTACTCCTGACCTCTGTACTCTGCCTTATTTACTCCTGACCTCTGTACTCTGCCTTATTTACTCCTGACCTCTGTACACTGCATTATTTACTCCTGACCCTCCTAACATTAAAAATGTTAACCCTTGAGCAAAGAAACCCTAACCCAAGCAAAGGCAATTTAAACTGGAAGAAGCATTTTTAAATATTGAATTTAGTTATGCTGTGGGCTTAATAAGAAAAAATCAATAGGCTCTCCTATCCATGTTTAACCGTGTGGATGGAGGAATCTCCACTGCTGGCTATTGTGTTTATCAGCCGTGACACCCACGGCTGCCTGAATACCTAAACATCTGACTGGACACAGTCACTCTTCTGGTGATAATTTGCTACCCAACTCAGTTGATTTTAAAATCAACTTTTGTTGAACTTTACCGTCCTCGAAGGTAAGAATCATCCATGCCACAGGGGCTGCTTATCACCTGCTTCAGCTCAGTGGGGATAACAGACAGTCCCTAAAACTGTCACATAACAAAAGGGCTGTCAGGGTTATATAATAGAAGATGAAAGGCTTTGTTAGTTGAGTTTTTCCCTCCTTCAGCAGCTTGGAGGGTTTGTTTTTGTTTTCATCACTAGGCTGAGGAGGTGATAAAGCAGTGATACTTCCAACCCCATATTGATCCTACATGTCTGCTCGGAGAGGGACAGAGTATATGTGAATAACAGTATACACAGCTATTCATGAGATGTAAGACTAGTTTAGAGGAGAATCGGATTATTACAAATGACAATTTCTACCCGTTTCCTGTAATCCCATTACACATTTGTCTTATATCATGTTTTTCAGGTTTGGGATAGTTATGGACGCCTCTTCTACAGCTCGCCATCCCATGAGTACCCAATTACATCCGTTTCCTGGGCTCCTGATGGAGATCTGTTTGCTGTGGGCTCCTTTCATACGCTCCGACTCTGTGACAAAACTGGGGTAAGTAAGCCTTCTAATAATATGCTGGCCACTCACACCAGTGTTAATTTTGGCAGAAAATGTCCTTTTAGTCTTAGTTTTTGAATTCAACTGTAATGCCATTTTATTTGTAGTCATCTGACTAGTTTTAGCCGACTAAATTTCCAGTAGATTTAGTCGGCTAAAATCTAATGTGTTTTTTTTTAAAGAGTAATGCATTATTTAAGAAATTCTCTAAAATTTCTAAACTCATTATATATTCTTGGAGTAAAGCTCTATTAACCTGTTATTACTTATAGTATTAAGGTTTGAACATGCAATACAGACACAGATTTAGCCGTTGTGATATAAAACATCTTCATTTACCTTAAAATAAATAAAATCAAGTTTCATAAACAAACTAGAATATTACTTTTAACGAACAGACGTGCAACTTTAAAAATAAAAAGTAAACTCTATCGACTGTACTGCCATTGCACATTTTACCTGAATATAAAACTTTAACAGTTCTCTGTTAATAATGACAACAATTATCAAGTAACTCAACACAACAAAAAGTTTCTGCAGCTAGCACAAGCACAGTATAATGAAACCCATACTAGTGGGTTATGCTTCTATCTATAGGAAGAATCAACTGACTATTCTAATTCTCAAATACAATCAAAAAGGTCACAGGCCACAATGTCATTAGTGCATGGAACTATAACAATCACTACTCTTTACTTTCTCTCAGCATTGACAAAACCGGTAAATATCCCACTAAAAACAGACCAGTAACTTACAGTGAGATGCATTGTATTTGCTAGCTGGTGTCCCGCTGCGTAGATCAGTAGGCTATTATTTTGTTGTGCATGTCTCCCTACTACAGCAAGAGGAAGAGCTAATGGAACCACAAGTTGAAATGCAATAGCCCCTCCCATTTTCATATAGTTTTCGTTGAAATGTAGTCATTGTTTTCGTCCTATTAACTTATCTATTACTTGGGTTTCGTCTCGTTTTCGTCACTAAAAAACATGCAAATGACGAAAAAACCTAAATGGTTTGTCGACGAAATTAACACTGACTCACACAGCAGAAAGAGCCTGTGCCTGTTACTTTCATGGTTGACACCTATACCAGTGTGCAACCCAAGTGTCAGTGTTATCTTTGATCAAAACTGTATGATTTCTATAGTCTGGGAATCCGAAAACATTTTGTTAGCGTCTGTTTAGGTTCATGAATCCAAAAGGGACAGCAAAGCAAGTATGGAGAAATAATTAAAATATGAAGGCAGAAAACCTGTTTTGCTATTAGATTCAATTCTCTTTTCAGCTCTTTGCTCTTGGTCAGATGTATAAATATTTTAAAGGATGAGTATGACAAAAAAAAATGTACAGCTGTCTTCCGTGTGTTTCCGACTTGGTTTTGTTTTTGTTTTTTAAAGGCAGTGGTTATTTATTACCTTTTGTAGGATTTCCTGAAATAAGCAGTCATTAAGGGAAATGCTAATATATTGTCAGCAAGCACACAGTTCCTTTATTTTGCCCTTTACATTTTAATATGCTTTCTCATCCATATTTTGACCACAGTATTTGTATACATTATGTTAAGTGCCCCCTCTTGTTGTTATGTATAGCTCAGGGAATAAATAAAGGACTTTGTCCATTGAGGGACACAGCTCTGCAAAATTCTTAGACATAGGGTTATGCTGCTGCCTCTAGAGTGCCTCTCAAAAAAACTTGGATTCAGTTTTGCTTTGAAGGGAATGTATATTATAAAAAAAATCTTTTTTATAATTGCAGCCAGCTTTTACTTTTTATAGTAATATTTTTAATTTTTTTACAATTTACATGCATGCTGTTCTATATATTTTTGTGGAATTAAAGGATATGTACAGTTTGCTTCTTTCACGGCCCAGCTGGAGTTCAAGCTCTTAACCATGGTAAGGAGCAGCACAGCCATCGTCGCACTCCTCCCAACTCACGTAAAAACTAAATGCCTGCCTGTTAACATGTACACAAGAATACCATTACACTATAGATAGACAACAAACTAATGTACAGCAAAGAGGAGATTGGTTTGAGATCGTGAGAAAACAGATACCTATCTAAGGTCTTCTTTTTTTTTTAATGCTTCTGTGATAAGAAGGGCCAGGGGCTCACTGAAATTTTCTTTTTAAAGTATCACTAAACTCAGGAATTAAATATTAAAAATGCATCTTATTTGTGTCCAAGCTTGCTCCTGTGATGGACTACAATCTCATGTTTAGTTTACTAATTTGTATTGAGATTGTAGTCTATCACAGGAGTGAGCTTGGAATGGTGGTTGCTTTACAACACACACACACGAACTATGGGAATAAAAAGAAGCAAGCCTCCAGAAGGAAGGGCAGTGTCAGCACCAATTTAAAGATGATTTGAGGAGCTACAGCTGAGTGATACACAGATAAGATACATTTTTGTTAAAGGAGTAGTATGGGGTCAGGGCTTTTCCCCATAGTTCTCCTAAGGGTCATGGGAGAACACAAACTAGCGTTCTCCCGGATCCAAAGCTCAGCATATCGCGAGCTGCAGCTCGCGGTATACTGAGACGCCGCAGCCGGGACGGATCCCGACAATACTGTCTGGATCCACCCAGCTGCGGGACTTACATTTGGCTCTGCCTATCCAGAGGCAGAGCCAGCTGTACCCGCCCCCTCCCCCGTCCGTTTCGCCAGTCAGCGCTGGAGGATCGGACAGGGGAGGGGGGGAATCCCTGCAGGGAGCCGTGAGTGACAGTCACGGCTCTCTGCAGGGATAGATCAAGAAGTGAGCGAGCACCGGTATGTGTTCGCTCACTTCCCGATCTACTGAGCCGACCTGTGACAGTTTCATTGTCACAGGTTGGCTCAGATTATATAGGCTGAGTGAAAATCACGCACCTCATAATTCTCCTTTTAATAGTGAAGGTACTCGAATGCATTTTTAAGATTTAACTCCTGAGTTTTTTGTCACTTTAAAGTAAACTGAATCTATTCTTTAAATATGGATTTGGAGATTAGACACTAGAGGGCGCTCTGTGTTGAGATGATACAATAAAGCGCACCCACGGTTGTAGCACTGCAAAGCGGGAAGCGGAGCATACATGTCTTCCCCACATGCTCATATCATTGCAAACCATACTTACATGATAGGCATCACTTTAATAAGATGCTGATGTAAGACAGAAATGTATTTTATATTGACAATAACTCTTGCAGTATTATTACTTTTTAAAAGAAGACTCCACTTTGATCCTATCTCGGCTACTACATGTCTTGACGTTTGTAAAGCTCTTCTTACCTCCTCTGTTGTGATGTGTCACAGACCCCTTTTTTTTTCTTAGCAGAGCTAATGTTAAGGCCCATCGTATATTGCCTAAAGGAGAACTATGAGGTGAGTGCTTTTCACTCACCTCATAGTTCTAGCCGACCTGTGACAATGAGACTGTCACAGGTCGGCTCAGTAGATCGGGAGGTGAGCCAACACATACCGGCGTTCGCTCACCTCTCGATCATCTCTGCCGTGACAGGAGAGGGGCTGGATTCCCCCCTCACCGCTCCGATCCGCCTGAGCTGACTGGCGGAACGGACAGGGGGAGGGGGCGGGTACAGCTGGCTCTGCCTCTAGATAGGCAGAGCCAGCTGTCAGTCACGCAGCTGGGCGGGGGCGGATCCCGGCAGTATACCGCGGCGTCTCAGTATACCTGAGCCTAGGGTGACGGGAGGACGCTAGTTTGTGTCCTCCCGTTACCCTAAGGAGAACTATGGGGAAAAGCCTTAACCCTATAGTTCTCCTTTTAATAACTTTTGGTAATCGACAAGGGTGAGAGTCATCCAGTCACTTTTGTTTTTCATGTTCTTGGGTGACCATCAAGCCAACTTGTTCTTGGGTGACCATCAAGCCGCCATTGGGAACATTTGGAGCTGATGTATTGGGAAACCTGTCCCAATCTCGGTTGCCCCCCCTCCTGTAAGGTAGCCCTAGCTTCCTGCTCCCTGGTCTCTTATCTTCCCTCTCCATGCAAGCCTCTTGTAAGTTTAGCCAAACTGAGCTTACAATTTATTAGAGTGGTCTGCAGCTTTCTGTCTGTAAGGCTCCTTGAAGGTGGTCAACCTCTAAATTCTGGGTAGCTTTAGAGTCACACTCTGCAATAGTAGAGAAGGGAAAAAGAAGAGTGTGGCCACATACTGTAGTGTACAGCCAATGAGAAAACATTGGTAGAAAACCTTTTGTGATCAATAAAAGAAAAAAATCAAGGCCAACTCCCTACCAAAAAGTAGAATTATTTTAGACAGTAAAGAGAAAGAGAGAAACCAGTCAGTGAGAGATTAAAAAGTACAGAGAAGAAAAATGATGGGAGTATTTCATTTTATTTATACTATGTTTCCTATTTGATGGTGGAATAACACTTTAATGCAAGTATGAATTGTAAAATACTTGCCTAACTCAGCACTGTCAGAGCATAGCACCTCTTGTGCCCTGCATTCTGTGTCTGTTGGCATTGGACGCACCCCTTGGTGCCCAAAATGCCCAGATGCCTACATTTAGAATGGAGTTTACAAGCAGGCAGTCTGAGATGCAGGCAGTCTGAGATGCAGGCTATTGACTGACGGTGTGGATTAGAAAGTACAAACCACTTCAAGTTTCCTTTTTCATTATTTTATCAGATCCTCCTAGTAATTAAAGGCATGTAGTAAAAGCATACAGGGCTGCTTTGCAATTAAATGCATTATGTGTAGGATTCTCTAATAAATCCATCATGTTTCACTAGAACAAATACAACCACAAACAGGGGTAGAAGCTAACTTACTGGCTGTATTTAGCCCTTGCAGTAACTGCAGAGGTTCCACGCAGTAAAGTCACAGATGTTTCACTGATGTTCAGAGCAACATATTTGACTTAGATTAACCTGGGAGGGATCAGTGTCACATTCAACCAGCTGTGGTTTTTGAGCCACAATTTGGTTTGGTTAATTTAAATGTCACATTTGTAAACCCAACCTAAATCAGAGCACTATAATAA